CCCAATTTTCGTTATAGGGAAGAACAGCAGCTCCCGAGCATGTAATGGCTTTCTGGTATTCACATTCATAAAAGCCAGAAGAAGAGAAGTCTCGTGTGTGTGAATCAGACTTGTTTTCCTTCTTCTTCTTTCAGCTATTGTGCCGTGATACGAAATTGCATCTTTTCCAACGGCTATTGTTGGTGTTGAACAAAGCTAAAATTAGCCGAATGCTAAAGCATAATTCTATAGTCTGAGAGTGATGGAAAACAATTCGTGGTATCCGGCCCGTTAGAAGTCCTCCAGTCCCTATTTTGACTCAGTGGAAGTAGAAAGCATTCCAGAAATGATGTTGATTGCTAGGTTTACGGGTGAAATTGCCGGAATCTGTAGGAATGAGGACAACGTGTGGTAGTCACGTGTTTTTATAACCAATTTATGTTGTTACCGTAATTCTGTCCACCCTGTATATAACTCAAATCGGATGATGTCTTCATGATGGCTTTGCGCCCTGTGCATGGAGTGTTGTGGAGCAAACAGACACTGCTTTTCAATCTTACTTCCGTTCTTCTCTGTCGTATGTAATCCACATTCCAAATTCAAAGGGCAGAGAATTAGATATAATATCGGTAATTTTTTCAATGAAAATTCAAAAATTTGAAAATGACCCAATTTCGAAAAGTCCTTAGCAGCTTCTCTACCGAGTTCTCAAGCTCTCATTTTAATAAGGGCGCATCATTTCACTATTTCTGTTCTGCCTGAAAAATTTCCAGTGAATGGAATGGAGATAGGGCCACGACCCTTATTTCCAACCCTCATTTTTCCACTGTGGGTGTGTAAAAGAGTTCAATGATGAAGTAGGATGGGACATGCTCCGAAAAAAAAGCGAAAGAAACCCCCGATAACGCCTAAAAGGGCCACCCTTCCCTTCAGCGCAGTAGACCTTTGGATTTAGAGAAGGATCGTTTGGACGAGTTTCACGAACGGCTAGCTCCAGTGCCAATGACATTGATTACGTAGTGTTCCCGCTACTGCAGTGCGCTCTTCCGCAGCATCCCGTGGCAAACGTAGCGGAGGCAGGGCTTGCGAGCGCAAGGTATGATTGGGGTCGAACAAATTATTAGCGCCTTTGTCGCTACTTCCCTGCCGCAAAGGAGCACGGAAATCACGTTGTCGACTCGTCTACCAAGATCGCGCGAGTTGGGATATGTTGACTGGTGCCTGTCCGGCCGTGCTTAAGCTAACGAATTCGAGTAATCTGACGTGATGGAAATCTCACTTATCCTCGAACATAGTAATTCATGTTTAGAGGTCAGAAAAAATACAAGGGTCAGTTCAGGTGGTGACTGTAGAAAAAAAAACCTCGCCCACACGAGGAGTTTCTGCGTATGTGGTTTTTCATTTTTTTGCGACTTTGGCTAGGAAAAGAATAACGTAGCTCTAAATAGGGTTGAGAACTCTTTTTCTTTGAAGTCTATTGACTGCGTTTCGGGCGCAAGCCCTTCTACAGTTCGACTGGCGGATGAAAAAATTAATTTTTTTTAAATTTCATTTAGATGAAGGGTTTTTGATAATGTGCACCGGAGTCTGTTAACACTCTTTCGGCTGCTTTACAGTCCCGAGTTGATTTGCAGACAGATGCCTGTCCGGCGGTGGATTCCAAAAGCATTGGTCCGCTTGAACCGAGTAATAATTCCAACGCAATATTGCCTTCAGGCTGCGTGGCGGTACTCAACAGAGAGATGGGAATCGAAATCGAAACGTGTTAATAGGGTGCAGAACGTTCTTATGGCTAGTTACGTTTGTTTTTTATATTTTGTGTGCAAAGTCTATTTTTATTTATTTTGGACATATTTTATTTGTGGCAAATAGAAACTGGATATAATTGTCACGTTAAGAGGTCGCTCCTCTATACAGAGCCTAAAGACTCGTCATTGATTCTGAGCATGAAGGAAGATTCTACAGGAATTTGTCGCCCTCTAGACATTATAATAGGCTTTCGCGTTGTAGGAGTGAACAGTTTTATCAATACTGACTATATCAAAATCAATTCCTCTCTGCGAAAACGGCTAGAACATGATAACGGTGGACTACTAGCAGGGATAGTCGATCGGTAGGCGTGTAGAGCCGCAAAGAGACTTCACTGCAATGGGTAAGGCCCTCTCAGGCCTCTACAGGTCCGCCGTTTTCTGCAAGACGCGCCTCTTCTTGTTTCTTTCGGTAACTTGTCTCTCCTCATGGAAACTCGTACCTCTTCTTCGACTTCGAATTCATCGTATCATCTGTCCTAAAATGTGTTGGAAATGTCTCTGTAAACTAAAAACTACGAAACTGGCATCAAGAAGTTCTAGGTGAAATGGCCGACCATTTTCAAGATCTGTTATCTTTTGTCCCTTCGCCTGCTTTATTCGAGTTTCTTTTCATTTCCATTGACTTGATAGTAATACCGTATCTTTTACTCTTGTTTGCATTTTTATAAGGTATCGGAAAGTCAGAGTCGTTTTCACTGAGCTTCCGTTCAAAGAGCAACTTTTCTTTCAATCAAGAAATCAAGTAGGGCTTTGATCATATGTCCCAATAACATTTACCCATCCAGCAGTGGACG